AGCTGATGATAAAGAAACGGTGAGTGACGATGTGTCATAAGCTTCGCATGAAAGAAGGATGCCGAACGTAGTGCCGAATTACATAAGCGTAAGGGAGACCGACATCCAAAGGGTCACAGAGCTTCTATTGTTACTTTAAGCTTAACACGGGTACCAGGTCGGTGATTTCGGTTGCTGACAAACTCTCACATCTCTGGCATCGCAGAGGACCCGAAAAGCTATCAAGGCCTTTATCCATATTGAAGCTGCCAACGGTACGGATGAAGAAGTTAGACGACATGAAATCGCGGCCATTTCCAACCGCCGCGCTCAGTCATGAGCGCGACGACGAAGACCCTCGATGAGGGCAGAAGTCAAGAAGAAACCAAAAATGATTCAAAACGGCGATGATCGTTCGCCAGATTCACATCAACGAATTACCATTCGTCTGACACTGCCACAAGTCAGCCTGGCGGCTTTGCAACTTTCAGTCTCCGGACGACATGGAGACGGCCAAACGCACAAAAGTAGAACAGTGCTAATCCACTCAGCTGAGTTCACACAGTTAATTCATCGCCTGCAAAACCTTGAACATAAAGCAGGCAAAACTGTGGCCCACTCTAATTAGTTATTAATTACCCGGCCGGCCTCAACTGCCGTTTTGTCTCTGTGACAGCAGTCGTCCAAACGTAAACAAACGTATGAATAACGTTTCATTTACGGCTTTATTTTCGCCACGTATTTGGCGCCATCAGCAGGAAGGAACGTTTCTGAGCAATAAAGTTACAACGGGCGACTTTGATTTGTTCATTTACGTCTAAATTCCTTATCCTCAGTACTCGACATAACCTCTCCTCTCAAATCTTGCACAGCAGTTTAGGATATGACGTAATTTACGGTATAGATGCTGCCGTAAGTCTGACTTTCCCAAAACCAGTTATGCGCACAGTAATTAACACAAAATATAGTTCACCTACCAACTTGTTATCGGAACGGGTTATTTTTGGGGGCATTATACAGACAGCAAGGAAATTTTACCGCGTCTATGCAAATGTCGAACAACCAACAACGTAGAGGCATACGAGGAGAATACGTGAATGAACGTTACTCACTTGAAAGAATACAGCAGAAGATGAGTGACAGCTGTTCTGTTCACTAAGTCGCTTTGCAGTCCCGCCATTTAGACGGTAATAAAAAGACGAGGATCATATTAGAAAATGGAAGCAATATGTAAAAATGTAACAGATTCATGGCCCTTGAAGTGAGTAACGCGAAATATAGTTTTAAAGCAGCAGTAGCAATCGAATAGGTCACGAAGACCCACCAAACCCATCCCATCGCCGTCCCACGTGACAGAGGGAAGGTAAGTTGTCTAATTACGAGACTGTTGACAAGCTAAAACAAAACTGAGTGTTTCTATTGCTCACTACACCTCGCGTTGATAAAGTCCGTCAGTCACTTGGCTAGCAGGAGGGTTTTGCCACATGTTAACCATAGAGCGCACTTTTTACGCGGCGTGACTGCAATTCTGATAAATTCTGGCATGACCGCAACAGAACAGGATGCCACTGCAACTCTTCTTCACTATCCGCCTCTCAGTAGACTGTACCACAAAAATATTA